GTCATTTCTCAGCCTACCGGATAATCGTTACCACAGTCAGATATCAAAATTCACTGCAGACGTTTACTTCAATGACACCGATCTTTCTCCCTCGCTGTCAAACACCAAACGAACATTCCTAATTCCTCGCCTCCAATCTTTTTTTCCTGTTCACGAATTTCTTCTTATAAACACTTACTGGTTCACGAATTTCTTCTTATAAACACTTACTGGTTCACGAATTTCTTCTTATAAACACTTACTGGTTCACGAAAAAATTAGAAGCTCACATTAGACATTCTTTCTTGCTGATTCATTCTTAACTGGCCTTTGACCCTAAACACGTTACAATAGGGAGCCCCATGTGACTCATATGATTTTCCACTCATTCCACTTATCAATACCAACAATGACAGAAACAGTCTGTGGTTGTCAGTAACAATACCCTATCAACCCTTATGAACACCAACAGTGGCAGATGGTGTCTGTAGTTGTCAGTAACAACATCATTTTCACTTGTATAAACACCAACAGAAGCAGCAACAGTATCTGGTTGTCAGTAACAACATCACATTCACCAGTATCAACACCAACAGTGGCAGATGGTGTCGTAGTAGTCAGTAACAACATCATATTCACCAGTATCAACACCAACAGTGGCAGATGGTGTCTGTACTTGTCAGTAACAACATCATATTCACTTGTATAAACACCAACAGAAGCAGGAACAGTATCTGGTTGTCAGTAGCAACATCATATTCACTTGTATAAACACCAACAGAAGCAGCAACAGTATCTGGTTGTCAGTAGCAACATCATATTCACTTGTATAAACACCAACAGAAGCAGGAACAGTATCTGGTTGTCAGTAGCAACATCATATTCACTTGTATAAACACCAACAGCGGCCCAAAAAAAATTATCCTTGTCGTTGCAATCATCATTACTGGCATTATTATCACTGGCATCCTTTCTAACATCATCATCATCCTCACATCCATGACATGATTCCTCTGATAGAAAGAAGTACTGATTACAGTGCATCTAGTTATAAGAATACGAAGTTAAAATAGTGCATTTAGTTATAAGAATACGAAGTTAAAATAGTGCATCTAGTTATAAGAATATGAAGTTAAAATAGTGCATAGTTATAAAAACATGAAATAATTACCTCGAATCTAGTTACAAAAAACTTAGAGCTGATTACAAGGAATCCTTCTGATTAAAATTCTATCAGGATTTAAAAATCCGATAAAGTAATTGTGTACAATTATTTCCCAGAGTCTCTGTGTGTAGCTAGACTACATGAACCAATGTATAGCAGTGGAGTGTATTAGGTTTGTTTGCTTCGTCATATTGTAGTAGGGTGGAAGCGACGAAGACTACAGTACAACAGATTAAAGGTCTTTGAGAGGTTTATCCTGGTTTAAAAATGCTAACCGGCCTTTTGAGAAACATTGACAGTTAATAAAGTATACGAAAGATGGGGAAAAATCTGGCTCGCTGGGTATAAAAGATTTTGTCTAGTCTCGCAGCGATCGATTCGACTTCCGGACTAACCTGTGGAAGCCTGACCCAAGAAGACTGATGCTTTGCACAATGGGCTGGTCTATGGGCATGGCGACCACAGGTAACGTTCGTGGTCGGACTGATGGCAGTCAAGGGTACGTTCAGTGGTTAGTTGGTTAAAATAGATTTTCATTGGTATTCTAGACAAGGAATAGTTAAATGGTAAATTGCTGTATGTTTGAGGTTTTGTTTCAGCACGTGGTCGTTTATGTCGTTACTTTTTGGCCATGCTGATGTGAAGTTCAATAAAATTATGTTCAACGTTGTATCCATAGTTGCAGTTGTTTCCTTCAGCTTAGGACTAGTAGTTAGCGTGCTTAGTAGTTTTCTAGTTTAGTTTATTATTACCTGACTTATTAGACTCTACACAGATCTAATGCCTGGACTAGAATATTATTGTTTCTAGCCCCCACCTGAACGAATCTATCTATTTCCTATTTTCTTTCCTCTTTTTTTAATATTAGTACTATGGGGCTTTCTAGCCCTGTTTTTAAATGGCGTCGTCTGGCAAGGATTTTGGTGGCCATTAGATAATTTGTGTGTAGCCTAGTTAGTTCAAGTAATAATAGTAGTTCATAGTTTAGATTGATTTTTAAATGGCGCCCAACTTGTGGGGCTTCTATATTGCAGTCTTTTGTTGATATTTGTTTAGTTAGATGTGACAGGATTTAATTCACACAGGAGTTCTAGTTTGTGCAGGTAATAGTAGTGATTTTTAAATTTTAAATTCGGTTTTTATGGCGCTCACGTGCTCTTTTATTTCAGACTTTAAATATGTTAGCCCACGTGTGTGGTTTCGTTATCGAAGACTTGGGTTGTTCATAGTTAGGTTTTATATCATCTTGTTCACGGATGAGTAGAGTTGTGGAGTAATTTAATTAGCCAGGTCTAGACGGCTCAGATTATCGCGTCTTGATTTTAATTTGGTTTAGGATTTGTGTAGGTTCAGCCTGTGTAGTTTTATTGTGTGACCAGATGTTAGTTTTGTTTTCACTAGGAGTGGTCAGTGTCTATTGTCGACTAGGAGTGGTTTTGTCTATGGTCCACGGAGTGACTTGTTTACGTCTCGACCTGAACTTGGGGTCAGTTTATCTTGATTTATGTCTCCACATCAAGGTTTAACTGTAGGTCTGTTTGTATAGTAGGGAGCCTTGTTTAAAGTACACCGACCGAGCCACTTAAGCAATGACGTTTTTTAACATTGCTGGTACCAGTTGAAACATTGTAGGCTTCGGCCGAGGTAATTTCGTTCCATTCTCATGTAGGCTTCGGCCGAGGTAATTGTTGAATGTCACTTGGAAGCCAAGCGGTGTTGGCAGTGACGAGAGGATTGTCTCTTGATGGCCGAGCGGCCGAGACATTGGCAAAAGTGGTAACGTGTCCAATCAGTCCATTGTAGGCTTCGGCCGAGGTAATTGTTGAATGTCACTTCGAAGCCAAGCGGTGTTGGCAGTGACGAGAGGATTGTCTCTTGATGGCCGAGCGGCCGAGACATTGGCAAAAGTGGTAACGTGTCCGATCAGTCCATTGTAGGCTTTTCCAAAGCCGAGGCAATTGTAGGCCTTCCATGAGGCCAAGGTAATGTCCGATATGTCTCTCGAGGGCCACGCGGCCGAGACAAGAGTGTGTTACGTCTCTCCAAGGCCACGCGGCTGAGACAATGTCCATTGTAGGCCCTTGGCCGAGGTAGTGAACGAAAATGTCAATTTGTAGGCTTTGCCAAAGCCGAGGTAATTGTAGGCTATGCCAAAGCCGAGGTAATGTCCGATATGTCTCTCGAGGGCCACGCGGCCGAGACAAGAGTGTTACGTCTCTCCAAGGCCACGCGGCCGAGACAATGTCTATTGTAGGCCTTTGGCCGAGGTAGTAAACGAAAATGTCCATTGTAAGCCCCGCGGCTGAGGTATCAAATATTATGACAACTTGTCTACGAAGAATTACTGGACGTCGGAGAGGAAATCCAACTGATCAAGAATCCGGATGTTAACTGATTACTATGTTTTATTGCAGTAACATGTTTTTCTTTTTGGTTTTGCTTGTTGTGTTTTAGTAGTGATTTGATATGTGTTTAACGCATTTTTCTAGCGAGGAGCGGATTAACAGGGGGTTTATTCTACTCTGATGGTGTCTCGGACCCAAGCGCACATGCTAACGTGTTCCGATGATATCGCCATTATTGATGTAGAGGGGGGATTTGTAGTGATTTTGCAGATGGTAGCTGAAACTCGAACGCAAATGTTCACTGGATGTTTCATGACTACTGCCATCTTGGTAATTTCTTATTTGGGACTTATACGTTTCTTATCCAGTTTCCTTGGGACGACTCATGCTTTGATTATATATCGATGTCAGCTATTTTTGGGTGAATGTTATTAGTGGTACTGCAAGTGACTAGTGATTACGTGATGTTGGGAGGAGTATTTTATTTCAGGTGGCTATAGCCAGTAACTCTGGGTGATGTAGAACAGGAGTTGGGGGATGATTTTTAGACAATTTATGTTACACATTGTGTGGTTGCCGGGACGTCAACAAAAATAATAATCCGACGTGTAGTAGGGTGGAAGCGACGAAGACTACAGTACAACAGATTAAAGGTCTTTGAGAGGTTTATCCTGGTTTAAAAATGCTAACCGGCCTTTTGAGAAACATTGACAGTTAATAAAGTATACGAAAGATGGGGAAAAATCTGGCTCGCTGGGTATAAAAGATTTTGTCTAGTCTCGCAGCGATCGATTCGACTTCCGGACTAACCTGTGGAAGCCTGACCCAAGAAGACTGATGCTTTGCACAATGGGCTGGTCTATGGGCATGGCGACCACAGGTAACGTTCGTGGTCGGACTGATGGCAGTCAAGGGTACGTTCAGTGGTTAGTTGGTTAAAATAGATTTTCATTGGTATTCTAGACAAGGAATAGTTAAATGGTAAATTGCTGTATGTTTGAGGTTTTGTTTCAGCACGTGGTCGTTTATGTCGTTACTTTTTGGCCATGCTGATGTGAAGTTCAATAAAATTATGTTCAACGTTGTATCCATAGTTGCAGTTGTTTCCTTCAGCTTAGGACTAGTAGTTAGCGTGCTTAGTAGTTTTCTAGTTTAGTTTATTATTACCTGACTTATTAGACTCTACACAGATCTAATGCCTGGACTAGAATATTATTGTTTCTAGCCCCCACCTGAACGAATCTATCTATTTCCTATTTTCTTTCCTCTTTTTTTTAATATTAGTACTATGGGGCTTTCTAGCCCTGTTACAATATGTTGATGTAACTCTGTAGTCATGAATCTGAGGAGATAAGCGAAATATGACTGGCAAAAAGATTGTGCAATGTATTGTTCGTATCCTAAATAATTATATGTGATCAGAGATTATTATTAATTCAGCCTTGAGTGTTATTAGGAAAAAATAAACAATACAAAACCCCACTCTTAATGAACCTGTAAATGACATTCACCCTTTTTCCAGCTAAGCAGTCCTTCAACTTGCTGGTAGCAAGAAATCCTTCTTGACAACCAAGTGATTGCCAGACAGCCTTTTTCCAATAACATGAGGACTCATTCTGGCAGCTGACACATGGAACCATCCATTCACCTGTGAGGAGCAAATTAATGTGACTATTTCACAATCAAATCTGGCAATCTGTGAGCACAACTAGCTGTACACAGATACAGTACTAATTCCCTTCCTTACCTCAGACAGGTGTACAAACATAAACTACAGATGCCATTTTCACAGACTGTTTTCACTCATAAACTACAAACTCCATTCTCACAGACGGTTGTACATACATAAACTACAAGTTCCATTATCACAGACGGTTGTACATACATAAACTACAAGTTTCATTATCACAGACTGTTGTACAGACATAAACTACAAATGCCATTGTCTCATTGATGTGTGTTGTCTATGCGTCTTTGGCTTGTTGTTCATAAAATTATGTTTTCATTTTAAACTTTGGCAGCATGAGGTTATCAACTGTAAAGGAAGTCAGGTGGCGCAACTCTGAATGTGTTCACATGCCTGGAGTTGTGACCACTTGTGCTTCATATGCCTTTGAGACAGACTGTATAGCTTCTAATCACTCACCTAGGAGTAACGTTTTCAATGGCGCCCACACAAGACTTAAACTGAATAAAGATCACGTGGGTCAGACCATCTTACTGTTAAAACCTAAATCCCTAAGACTTTACTTCTTCACTTGTAGCTGGCTTTTCTTTCATCTCTTCACCTGTAGCTGGCTTTTCTTTCATCTCTTCACCAGTAGCTGGCTTCTCTTAAATCTCTTCACCTGTAGCTGGCTTTTCTTTCATCTCTTCACTTGTTGCTGGCTTCTCTTTCATCTCTTCACCTTTCGCTGGCTTCTCTTTCATCTCTTCACCTTTAGCTGGCTTCTCTTTCATCTCTTCACCTGTAGGTGGATTTTCTTTCATCTCTTTACCTGTAGCTGGCTTTTCCTACACCTGCCCACCTGTAGCTGGCTTTTCTTCCACCTCCCCACCTGTAGCTGGCTTTTCTTCCACCTTTTTACCTTTACCTAGCTTCTTTTTCATCTTTTCATCTGCAGCTATCTTCTCTTTCATCTTTTCTGATGTAGCTAGCTTCTCTTTAGGTTAACATTTTTTTTGGTGGTGGTTCTATCACAATAAAAGAACATTTAAAAAACCAGGGATGATGCAAGAAAAGAACGCTAAATACACCCACTTCTGGTAAATCTGTCATCTTTTACGATGTAACGTTCTGTGCTATTCAACATTTTATGGTATTTAATGTTGTACATTATGCTATCATATGTGTTGTTCTATGACATGCAACATAATTTAGCGTGTTCACATTGTTCTTTGACACATAATGTTGTATAAAATTTAATCAAGTTCTGTAGCATGCATTTTCACTATTAGTGTCATATTCTGTAACATGAATTTGCTTTTAATTAGTGTCATGTTATGTGACATGCAATTTGTATTAGTGTTATGTTATGTGACATGCAATTTTTATTAGCGTCATATTCTGTGACATGCAATTTGTATTAGTGTCATGTTATGTGACATGCAATTTGTATTAGTGTTATGTTATGTGACATGCAATTTTTATTAGCGTCATATTCTGTGACATGCAATTTTTATTAGTGTCATGTTCAGTGGCATGCAAATTTTATTAGTGTCATGTTCAGTGGCATGCAAATTTTATTAGTGTCATGTTCTGTGACATGCAATTTTTGATAGTGTCGTGTTCAGTGACATGCAATTTTTTTTAGTGCCGTGTTCTGTGACATGCAATTTTTATTAGTGCCGTGTTCTGTGACATGCAATTTTTATTAGTGTCATGTTCAGTGGCATGCAAATTTTATTAGTGTCATGTTCTGTGACATGCAATTTTTGATAGTGTCGTGTTCAGTGACATGCAATTTTTTTTAGTGCCGTGTTCTGTGACATGCAATTTTTATTAGTGCCGTGTTCTGTGACATGCAATTTTTATTAGAGTCTTGTTCTGTGACATGCAATTTTTATTGGTGTCGTGTTCTGTGACATGCAATTTTTATTAGTGTCATGCTCTGTACAGTATATCTTCTAAAAGCTGTAAACTTCTTTTAGCTGCATTGTTCAATAAACTGTAATGTTCTATTAGCTATAATGTTCTAAAGGCTGTCAGGCTAATATTCTTCAAACTGACATGTTCTAAAAGTGGCAATGTTCTAACAACTGTGATGTTGCATAACTTAAGATGTGCTTAAGGTAGTAACGTTCTAAAACTATATTGTATAAGCCGAATGTTCTATACAGGTAATGATCTATTCGCTGTCATATTCTACATGTTGTATTGTTGTATGCCCATATTGTTCTATACAGGTAATGATCTATTCGCTGTCATATTCTACATGTTGTATTGTTTTATGCCCATATTGTTCTATACAGGTAATGTTATGTGCAGTGAGAGGCAGACGTTCTCACCGGACACAGAGTCATCATCACTGCACTGAGGCAAAGTTGAACGCTGCCTTAAAAACTCTGTCCACTTCATAACATCTGCAGCAGGCTGAAGACCACATCTCAAGGCCGGAGAAAAGATCAGGGAACAGTCCTGAGAATGGGTCAAAACAACTGACAATCAATCAACCAAGCTGTAACTTATTGTCAAGAAAATTTCTCCCCCCCCCCCCCCTCCCCACACACACACACAAAACTGTTGGTGTGTTTAGAGTGGAAGAGAGGACAGCTATTGGTATGTTTTTAGAGTAGCAGAGAGGAGGGCTGTTGGTGTGTTTTTAAAATAGTAGGGATGACGGCTATTGTTATGTGTTTAGAGTAGAAGGGAGGACGGCTGTTGTTATGTGTTTAGAGTAGAAGGGAGGACGGCTGTTGTTATGTGTTTAGAGTAGAAGGGAGGACGGCTGTTGTTATGTGTTTAGAGTAGAAGGGAGGACGGCTGTTGTTATGTGTTTAGAGTAGAAGGGAGGACGGCTGTTGTTATGTGTTTAGAGTAGAAGGGAGGACGGCTGTTGTTATGTGTTTAGAGTAGAAGGGAGGACGGCTGTTGGTGTGAGTTTAGAGTAGAAGGGAGGACGGCTGTTGTTATGTGTTTAGAGTAGAAGGGAGGACGGCTGTTGGTATGTGTTTAGAGTAGAAGGGAGGACGGCTGTTGGTGTGTGTTTAGAGTAGAAGGGAGAAGGGTTGTTGGTGTGTGTTTAGAGTAGAAGGGAGAAGGGTTGTTGGTGTGTGTTTAGAGTAGAAGGGAGAAGGGTTGTTGGTGTGTGTTTAGAGTAGAAGGGAGAAGGGTTGTTGGTGTGTGTTTAGAGTAGAAGGGAGAAGGGTTGTTGGTGTGTGTTTAGAGTAGAAGGAAGAAGGGTTGTTGGTGTGTGTTTAGAGTAGAAGGGAGAAGGGTTGTTGGTGTGTGTTTAGAGTAGAAGGGAGAAGGGTTGTTGGTGTGTGTTTAGAGTAGAAGGAAGAAGGGTTGTTGGTATGTGTTTAGAGTAGAAGGGAGGACGGCTGTTGGTGTGTGTTTAGAGTAGAAGGGAGGACGGCTGTTGGTGTGTGTTTAGAATAGAAGGGAGAAGGGTTGTTGGTGTGTGTTTAGAGTAGAAGGAAGAAGGGTTGGTGTGTGTTTAGAGTAGAAGGGAGGACGGCTGTTGGTGTGTGTTTATAGTAGTAGTGAGGACGGCTGTTGGTGTGTGTTTAGAGTAGAAGGGAGGACGGCTGTTGGTATGTGTTTAGAGTAGAAGGAAGAAGGGTTGTTGGTGTGTGTTTAGAGTAGAAGGGAGAAAGGTTGTTGGTGTGTGTTTTAGAGTAGAAGGAAGAAGGGTTGTTGGTGTGTGTTTAGAGGACAAGGGAACACATACCTGTTTTAAAGAACATACTTGATAATCTCCTTTTAACTCATCAAATCCAGAAATCTGACCAGCTGGTTTCCTGTGAAAGGTGATCCTGTAGACGTTGAGTATGGTGGCTTCAGGCTGCTCTATATTGACCACTGAAATATGTGCTGTGTTGTCTCCCAAGCCTAGACTAAAGTTGGCCCAACTGCAGAAGAGCGCCAAAACAATATATCATTAGTAGTCTCTAAATGTGATCATGTGGAGAAAAAAAAACAAGCCACAACAACCTACATAAAACATAGACACATCATACCTGACATACAAAAAGAAAAGTCACAACTGTCATACAGACAAATCACAAACAACAAACAGACAGGTCACAACTGACATACAAACAGCTGACTCATAAACAGACAAGTCCCAACTTCCACACAAACATAGAGGTCACGAGTGACATACAAACAGACAAGTCACAACTAACATAAAAAGACAAGTCACAAATGAAACGCAAACAGACAAGCTAACTGACATACAAACAGACATGTCACAAATGACATAGAAACACACAAATAACAACTAACATACAAACAGATAAGTCACAACTGAAATACAAACAGACGTGTCACACCTGACATACAAACATAAAAGTCACTACTGACATACAAACAGACAAGTTACAACTGACATCCAGACATGCCAGAATGTATATACAAAAGACAAGTCACAACTGACACAAAAACAGACAAGTCACATTTTAAAACAGACAGACAAGTCAAAACGGATAAACAGACGTCGCAACTGTCATAGAAATACACAGGTCAAAATTGACGTACAAACAGACAAGTCAAAACTGACATACTAACAGACAAAACACAAATTGCATATAAACACTACAACTGACATACAAACAGGCAAGTCACAACTGACATACAAACAGGCAAGTCACAACTGACATACAAACAGGCAAGTCACAACTGACATACAAACAGGCAAGTCACAACTGACATACAAACAGGCCAGTCACAACTGACATACAAACAGCCAAGTCGCTACTGACACACTGAGATGCTGCTTGCCAGATTGTCAAGCTACATCAAATTGCCCCAGTAAGCAGAATTCTGTGATGGACAGTGTTCCCTCAGCCAGTCTTGTTTATCCCACACATACTGTTTGTTGGCCAGCTGTCTCTAATGGTCATCATCAATGTATATAATGACAAAGTGACACTAACGTGTTGTTACTGCCACGATTGTATGACATTAGCTTGTTATGACTGTAATGTTTAAATGACATTAGGCTCTTATTGATGTCACCTTTGTGTGGCACTAGCTTGTTGCTGTTAGTTTGAATGATAGAATATTGTTGTTGTTGTGTTCATATGACAGCCTCTTGTTGCTGTTATGTCTGAATGATAGTCTCTTGTTGCTGTTATGTTCATATGATAGCCTCTTGTTGATGTTTGGTCTGAATGATAGTCTCTTGTTGCTGTTATGATTGAATGATAGTCTCTTGTTGCTGTTATGTTTGAATGATAGTCTCTTGTTGCTGTTATGTTTGAATGATAGCCTACTGTTACTATCCCGTTTGTATAATAGCACGTTGTTTCTGTTTTCTTTGTAAAATATTAACTTGTTGTTGCTTTTATGTTTGTATAATAACTTGTTGTTGCTTTTATCTTTGTTTGACACTAGCCAGCTAGAGACATCATGTCTGTATTTAACTAAATTGTCATGTTTGTTTGACACTAGCCAGCTAGAGATATCATGTCTGTATTTAACTAAATTGTCATGTTTCTTTGACAGTAGCCAGCTAGAGACATCATGTCTGTATTTAACTAAATTGTCATGTTTGTGGACCACTTAATTGTTTTACAGTAATAATTCTATGACACTGACGTGTCACTTTTGTCATGTTTGTATGACACTCTTCTGTCACTCCTTTCATTTCTGGATGCCACTGACCTGTCACTTCTGTCATTTTTGTATGTCTGTATGACACTGAACCTTATTTTCTGTCATGTTTGTATGACACTGATATGTCCTTTCTGTCTGTTTGTATGACACTGATATGTCCTTTCTGTCTGTTTGTATGACTCTGATATGTCCTATCTGTCATGTTTGTAAAACATGGATCTGTCATTTCAGTGATGTTTTCATGACAATGATCTGTCATTTATGACATATAGGTATGGCACTCTGATCTGTCATGTCTGTATGACGCTTACTTGTTGTCGCTGATAAGCTGATCCCCCAGCCTGACCTCAGCCCTGCAGTGCTTGTTGATCCCAGTCAAGTGTACCAGTGTGGTCAGGTAGCTCACCTCGGCCCTGTAGTCTGTGGTCAGGGGCGAGAACTCTGGGTGCAGCTGGATATATGGATCAGTGTGAATGGCATCTAGATATGGCCAACTACTGTTGTCTATTGAAGGAGATAGAAGCTAGTTCATCTCAAAGATGTCAAATGTTTGGTATTTATGTACTTAGAGGTGTCAAATGTCTGGTGTTTATGTACTTAGAGATGTTAAATGTCTGGTATTTATGTAGTTAGAGCTGTCAAATGTCTGGTATTTATATACTTACAGATGTTAAATGTCTGGTATTTGTGTACTTAGAGTTGTTAAATGTCTGGCATTTATGTACTTAGTTTAAACGCGCGTATGTCTGTTTGTGTGTATGTGTCTGCATTTGTTTCTATGGGTGTGTGTCTGTGTTTATATCTGTATGTTTGAATGTGTGTGGAATGTGCGTGTCTGTGTGGGTATGTAAAATTTGTATGAGAGTGAATGGGGTGTGTTTATGTGTGTGTGAAGGTATGTGGGTGTTTGAGTGTATGGGTGTGTGTGTGTGTGCGCATGTGTGTGTGCATGCATTTTACCACCCATGCTTTTGTGTGTTTTTTTTTTCCCTCTCTTTTTTGATATTCATAATATGCATATTATCATATAAATACTACATGCTTATTGATAAGACGGGCCTGCGTCCTCCTTTAAAAATAAAGTTCGTTCGTTCGTTCTTACTTAGAGGTGTCAAATGTTTGGTATTTATGTACATAGCGTTGTTAAACGTCTGGTATTTATGTACTTAGAGATGTTCAATGTCTGGTATTTATGTACTTAGAGATGTTAAATGTCTGGTATTTATGTACTTAGAGATGTTAAAAGTCTGGTATTTATGTACTTAGAGATGTCAAATATCTGGTATTTGTGTACTTAGAGATGTTAAATGTCTGGTATTTATGTACTTAGAGTTGTTAAATGTCTGGTATTTATGTACTTAGAGATGTCAAATGTCTGGAATTTATGTACTTAGAGATGTCAAATGTCTGATATTTATGTACTTATGGGTGTCAAATGTCTGGTATTTATGTACTTAGAGTAGTTAAATGTCTGGTATTTATGTACTTAGAGATATTAAATGTCAAGTATTAATGTACTCAGAGATATTAAATGTCAAGTATTTATGAACTCAGAGATGTCAAAAGACTCGTATTTATGAACTCAGAGATGTTAAATGTCTAGTAATAATGAACTCAGAGATGTCAAAAGACTCGTATTTATGAACTCAGAGATGTCAAAAGACTCGTATTTATGAACTCAGAGATGTCAAAAGACTCGTATTTATGAGTGGTTTCAACCGAAAACACAGAGTAACCAAAATGGAACCAACTTAATTGTAGCCAAAAGGTGCAAAGCCAATAATATTTACTTTAAATTAGTATTATATATTTCTTCTTCTTCTTTTTGGGCGTTCGGTTTCGTATGCTCAGATCAGAACTTCAGGTGGATTGCTTCTATTGCCACAGTGAGCCGGGATCCACTGGAGAACGATCTGATTGTTTTCTGCGAGGCTAAAGCTGGCTGGTCAGTACTTTCCATGTTGTCTCGTGGATCCCTCTGAATGGTCTGGTAGATTGACATGCAGTCACGAAGGAAAACAATCTTGCTGTTTTTAATTTTTCTTACCTCAAGCACTTTGGATGAATCAATAATTGCTTGCTGCTCTGCTCTGAAGTTTGTTCAGAGTTTTCCAGAGGCGCATGACGTTTCTACTGTGGTCCCATCTTGCAGCATGATGACCGATCCAGCTCCTCTGCTTGTTTCTTGCTTCGTCCAGTGATCCGGTCGGTGTAAACTTGTGTCCACTCGTGTTTTGGATAACAGTTGTAGACATGTTCAAGGGTCATTGCATGCAGCACTAGTTTTATTCTGCTTAGCCTAAATGGTTTATAACATAGAAATAAATGCTCTGTTATATTTATTTTTGACATTTAATAATCACGTTTGTTTACCCTTGTCCTTTCTCCACAACTGGGACATTCATCTTGACAGTTTTTTCATTAGTTTCTGCTTCTGCGGGTAACTATCCATGACAGACATTTGTGAATTATTACTGTCCAATCATTGTCTAGGGTCTTGCTTTACATAAATTCTAAAGCTTATGATGAGTCATTCTCCACAAACCCCCACTCCCTCTTCCTGTGTATGAGTTGATATTCATTCTAGCGACCGTTTCTGTATGTGTGTGTATATATATTTCTAGTGATTCTGTGCCGTATGTGTTTGTCACATCGGCTATCCAGTGACAGTGTAGCCTATAGACAGAGATCAATGATGATGGGTGAGAAGCTCATGATGACATCAACTGCCAGTTTGTAAATACTCACCACAATCACAGGTCGGTAGCAGCTGTCCTGTCATTGGCAGCAGGGGAAGGGGGAGATAGATATGGACATATTTCTGAACTAATCACAATAATGTGCAGAAGAACATGTAGTACCGGCTTATATTAGTTAGTATACAGCAACAACCACACACACACACACACACACACACACACACACACACACACACCAATCACAAATGCAAGGAGACTTTTCCTGATAAAATGTTGCACGAGATGAGTGTGACTGAGTGTATGTGCTGTGTGTGAGTGTATGTGCTGTGTGTGAGTGTATGTGCTGTGTGTGAGTGTATGTGCTGTGTGTGAGTGTATGTGCTGTGTGTGAGTGTATGTGCTGTGTGTGAGTGTATGTGCTGTGTGTGAGTGTATGTGCTGTGTGTGAGTGTATGTGCTGTGTGTGAGTGTATGTGCTGTGTGTGAGTATATGTGCTGTGTGTGAGTGTATGTGCTGTGTGTGAGTGTATGTTCTGTGTGTGAGTGTATGTTCTGTGTGTGAGTGTATGTGCTGTGTGTGAGTGTATGTGCTGTGTGTGAGTGTATGTTCTGTGTGTGAGTGTATGTGCTGTGTGTGAGTGTATGTTCTGTGTGTGAGTGTATGTTCTGTGTGTGAGTGTATGTGCTGTGTGTGAGTGTATGTTCTGTGTGTGAGTGTATGTTCTGTGTGTGAGTATATGTGCTGTGTGTGTGTATGTTCTGTGTGTGAGTGTATGTTCTGTGTGTGAGTGTATGTTCTGTGTGTGAGTGTATGTGCTGTGTGTGAGTGTATGTGCTGTGTGTGACTGTATGTGCTGTGTGTGAGTGTATGTGCTGTGTGTGAGTGTATGTGCTGTGTGTGAGTGTATGTGCTGTGTGTGAGTGTGTGTGCTGTGTGTGAGTGTATGTGCTGTGTGTGAGTGTATGTGCTGTGTGTGCTGTGTGTGAGTGTATGTGCTGTCTGTGAGTGTATGTGCTGTGTGTGAGTGTATGTGCTGTGTGTGAGTGTGAGTGTATGTGCTGTGTGTGAGTGTATGTGCTGTGTGTGAGTGTATGTGCTGTGTGTGAGTGTATGTGCTGTGTGTGAGTGTATGTGCTGTGTGTGAGTGTATGTTCTGTGTGTGAGTGTATGTTCTGTGTGTGAGTGTATGTGCTGTGTGTGAGTGTATGTTCTGTGTGTGAGTGTATGTTCTGTGTGTGAGTGTATGTTCTGTGTGTGAGTGTGTGTGCTGTGTGTGAGTGTATGTGCTCTGTGTGAGTGTATGTGCTGTGTGTGAGTGTATGTGCTGTGTGTGAGTGTATGTGCTGTGTCTGAGTGTATGTTATGTGTGTGAGTGTATGTTCTGTGTGTGAGTGTATGTGCTGTGTAAGAGCGTATGTGCTGTGTGTGAGCGTATGTGCTGTGTGTGAGTGTATGTTCTGTGTGTGAGTGTATGTTCTGTGTGTGAGTGTATGTGCTGTGTGTGAGTGTATGTTCTGTGTGTGAGTGTATGTTCTGTGTGTGAGTGTATGTTCTGTGTGTGAGTGTATGTTCTGTGTGTGAGTGTATGTTCTGTGTGTGAGTGTATGTTCTGTGTGTGAGTGTATGTTCTGTGTGTGAGTGTATGTTCTGTGTGTGAGTGTATTTGCTGTGTGTGAGTGTATGTGCTGTGTGTGAGTGTATTTGCTGTGTGTGAGTGTATGTGCTGTGTGTGAGTGTATGTGCTGTGTGTGAGTGTATGTGCTGTGTGTGAGTGTATGTGCTGTGTGTTAGTGTATGTGCTGTGTGTGAGTGTATGTGCTGTGTGTAAGTGTATGTGCTGTGTGTGAGTGTATGTGCTGTGTGTGAGTGTATGTGCTGTGTGTGAGTGTATGTGCTGTGTGTGAGTGTATGTTCTGTGTGTGAGTGTATGTTCTGTGTGTGAGTGTATGTTCTGTGTGTGAGTGTATGTTCTGTGTGTGAGTGTATGTTCTGTGTGTGAGTGTATGTTCTGTGTGTGAGTGTATGTGCTGTGTGTGAGTGTATGTGCTGTGTGTGAGTGTATGTGCTGTGTGTGAGTGTATGTTCTGTGTGTGAGTGTATGTGCTGTGTGTGAGTGTATGTGCTGTGTGTGAGTGTATGTTCTGTGTGTGAGTGTATGTGCTGTGTGTGAGTGTATGTGCTGTGTGTGAGTGTATGTGCTGTGTGTGAGTTTATGTGCTGTGTGTGAGTGTATGTGCTGTGTGTGAGTGTATGTGCTGTGTGTGAGTGTATGTGCTGTGTGTGAGTGTATGTGCTGTGTGTGAGTGTATGTGCTGTGTGTGAGTGTATGTGCTGTGTGTGAGTGTATGTGCTGTGTGTGAGTGTATGTGCTGTGTGTGAGTGTATGTGCTGTGTGTGAATGTATGTGCTGTGTGTGAGTGTATGTGCTGTGTGTGAGTGTATGTGCTGTGTGTGAGTGTATGTGCTGTGTGTGAGTGTATGTGCTGTGTGTGAGTGTATGTTCTGTGTGTGAGTGTATGTGCTGTGTGTGAGTGTATGTGCTGTGTGTGAGCGTATGTTTTGTGTGTGAGTGTATGTGCTGTGTGTGAATGTATGTGCTGTGTGTGAGTGTATGTGCTGTGTGTGAGTGTATGTGCTGTGTGTGAGTGTATGTGCTGTGTGTGAGTGTATGTGCTGTGTGTGAGTGTATGTGCTGTGTGTGAGTGTATGTGCTGTGTGTGAGTGTATGTGCTGTGTGTGAGTGTATGTGCTGTGTGTGAGTGTATGTGCTATCTGCTGAACATTTCTGTTTTAGCATTACAGAAAAAGGTTACCATATGTGTGTGTGTGTTTGTCTGTGCAAGTGAGTGTGCGTGTGTGTTTGTCTGTGCAAGTGAGTGTGTGTGTGTTTGTCTGTGCAAGTGAGTGTGTAGGAGTGAATGAGTTTGTGTGGGTGTGGGTTTGTCTGTGCAAGTAAGTGAATGAGTGAGTGTGAATGAGTGTGTGTATGTGTGAGAGAGAGAGAGACTTTGATGACTCTGACCCTTGAAGGCAGCATGCCAGAGGTGGCCAAAAACACACACGTGTCAACATTACACAGAAAGAAATAATGTCAACAAACCAAAATGTGTGTCTTTGTAAGTGTCTCTGTGTGTGTGTGTGTGTGTGTGTGTGTGTGTGTGTGTGTGTGTAAGTGTGTTTGTGTCTGTGTGTGTGTGAGACAGAGAGAGACTTTGATGACTCTGACCCTTGAAGTTTGTGTGTGTGTGTGTATGTGTGTGTGTGTATGTGTGTGTGCGTGTGTGTGTGAGTATGGTAATCTTATCTGCTCAACAGTTCTGATATAGCAATACAAAGAACAGTTGTCATATACAGACTGCACAGATAACAGTAATGTCAACAGATTACGACTGCACAGATAACAGTAATGTCAACAGATTACGACTGCACATGTAACAGTAATGTCAACAGATTACGACTGTACAGATAACAATATTGTCAACAGATTACGACTGTACAGATAACAATATTGTCAACAGATTACGATTGTACAGATAACAATATTGTCAACAGATTACGACTGTACAGATAACAATATTGTCAACAGATTACGACTGTACAGATAACAATATTGTCAACAGATTACGACTGTACAGATAACAATATTGTCAACAGATTACGACTGCACATGTAACAGTAATGTCAACAGATTACGACTGTACAGATAACAATATTGTCAACAGATTACGACTACACAGATGACAATAATGTCAACAGATTACGACTACACAGATGACAATAATGTCAACAGATTACGACTACACAGATGACAATAATGTCAACAGATTACGACTACACAGATAACAATAATGTCAACAGATTACGACTACACAGATAACAATAATGTCAACAGATTACGACTGCACATGTAACAGTAATGTCAACAGATTACGACTGTACAGATAACAATAATGTCAACAGATTACGACTGTACAGATAACAATAATATCAACAGATTACGACTACACAGATAACAGTAATGTCAACAGATTACGACTGTACAGATAACAGTAATGCCAACAGATTATGACTGTACAGATAACAGTAATGTCAACAGATTACGACTGCACAGATAACAGTAATGTCAACAGATTACGACTGTACAGATAACAATAATGTCAACAGATTACGACTGTAAAGATAACAATAATGTCAACAGGTTACGACTGCACAAATAAAAGTAATGTCAACAGATTACGACTGTTCAGATAACTGTATGGTTTACACTGTATGTCTAATAACTGTATAACACAATATAAGTCTGATAACTGTGTAACTCACCATGCATGTTTTACAACTGTGTAACTCACATTGCATGTTTTACATCTGTGTAACTCACACTGCATGTTTTACATCTGTGTAACTCACATTGCGTGTTTTACATCTGTGTAACTCACATTGCGTGTTTTAGAACCTTATAACTCACATTAAATGTCTGATAACTAAATCACTTACTTGACAATCCATCTCTAAATAAAACAGCTTCACGATGTTTTAGTCTGCGGCTGGAATTAAAAAACACCGACAATTACCACTCAAAGTAGGAAGGAAGAACTTGGTTAAATATGTACACAAGAGAACATCAGTAGAACATGTAGACAAGAGAACAGCAGCAGAACATGTAGACAAGAGAACATCAGTAGAACATGTAGATAAGAGAACATCAGTAGAACATGTACACACCAGAGCATCAGTAGAACATGTAGACAAGAGAACACCAAAAGAACATGTAGACAAGAGAACATCAGTAGAACATCTACACAAGAGAACTTCAGTAGAACATCTACACAAGATAATATCAGTAAAACATGGACACAAAAGAACATCAGAAGAATATGTACACAACAGAACATCTATATAATATGTACACAAGAGAACATCAGTAGAATGTGTACAAAGGAGATCATCAGTAAAATATGTACACATGTGAACATCATTAGACTATGTATACAAAAGAACATCCACTACCTACGTACACAAGAGAACATTGGTAGAATGTGTACACAAGAGAACACAAGTAAACTGTGTAGACAAGAGAACATCAGCAGAATATGTACACAAGAAACTTCAGCGGAATATATAAACAAGTGACAATAGCAGAATAGGTTGAGAACATCTGTAGAATTAGGATGAGAACATCTGTAGAATATGCACTTAGGGGATTATCATTAGAATATGTGCACAAGCGAACTTAAGCAGAATAAGTACACAAGCAAACATCAATAGAATATGTACACTAGAGAACATCAGTGGAAAATGAACACAAGAGTACGTTAGTATAATGTGTACATATGAGAAAATCAGTAGAATATGTACACAAGAGAACATCAGTAGAATGTGTACACAAGAGAATATTGGTAGAATGTGTACACAAATGAACATCAGTACAGAGTGTACACAAGATAACATCAGTAGAATATGTACACAAGAGAACATCAGTAGAATATGCACACAAGAGAACGTCATTAGAAAACGTAGACTAGAGAATATAATATGTACACAAAAGAACATCAGTAGTTCTTGTACACAGGAGAACATAAGTAAAATGTGTACACAATGGAATATGTGTAGAATGTGCAAACAAGGAAACATAAGTAGAACATGTAGACAAGAGAACATCAGTAGAATGTTCACACAAGAGAACATAAGTAGAATGTGTACACAAGAGAACATTAGTAGAATTTGTACACAAAAGAACATTAGTAGAATGTGTACACAAGAGAACATTAGTAGAATGTGTACAAAAGAGAACATCTGTAGAATGTTTACACAAGAGAATATCAGTAGAATGTTTACACAAGAGAACATTAGTAGAACATGTACACAAGAGAATATCAGTAGAACATGTACACAAGAGAATATCAGTAGAACATGTACACAAGAGAATACCAGTAGAACATGTACACAAGAGAATATCAGTAGAATGTTTACACAAGCGAACATCAGTTGAACATGTAGATAAGAGAACATCAGTAGAATGTGTACATAAGAGAACATCGATTTAATAATCGACATCATAGCACACTGGATATACCCATGGATGCTCGTCTCCCACAGCAAATGTCTGGAGGTGTAGCTGCTGTTCTCGGAGCACTGATTATACACTCGTGGTTTCCTTTCTCTAATTGTTCCCTCGTCGCCAGATCCATCCAGTTCTGCCATACCGTTACAGCACTCTCTACATTCTCTTCCTTACTCAGTATTTACCTGATGGAAACTGCTGTTGTGGGTGTTCGTGTCGACCCATTCCTGCTCCCCGTGTATTTGTTTGACCGAGGTCGCCGTCTTGATGTTATCTTCAGCTAGTGCTATCGCTTTTTAACCGATCTCCTCTTAAATCTTTCAGACTGGCACACAACGGATGCCTTTCGTCATTGGTAACTTGCATATAGGTCTTGGCTTGCGCCAAAGAGTCTAGACCTTACCGATGTCAGCCCAGGCATTTACCGCATTGTTCTTATTGTCGTATCTCTTATGCAACCCAAGACGATTCTCATTCCTTCATATTTAAACTTTTCTGTGTACACTGTGAAGTAGAGAGGTTTGATATTCCTAGGCCATAATCATTTACAGGAACGAACAAATGGTTAAGCAATAAGATCAATAATCTCTGTTCCATGTGTGTGTCGCCACCATCGTCTTCAGTGCCGCCAGGCCACGCTTGCATTTGATCACAGTCTGCCCCTAGTGATATTTGTAGGACAGACTGCGACCAAATGTCAAACCTAAATATTTCAGCTTGTCTCTTTTTTCAACAATACTAACCTCCATGGAAATGCTGGGAAAGTCTGCCTTTCCAATGCTGTTATTTAAAGAGCAACACAAACCACTGGTCTTTTAATTATTTCAGTCCCCATGTGGGACGAATTTTTCGTTATTTTGAAGTTATACTCTGGTTGTTGCCGTAGCGCCTGATTTAACCTAACGGTTTACCAGGGTTTTTGGAACCTCTCTACGGGTGATCCTCATCAGAATGGTGGCACTTTGTGTCACCGTATGTTTATCGCTCATTGTGGTGTCCTTGTGGGGTTAAAAGGGCCAGTCAGCTACTGGCCTTCTATGGGTTCACCCTTAACTCTGTCTGTTCACACCACCGCGTCATCTCATGCAAAGCACTTTGCAAGTCTCTTGGTCATGTGGTGCCTGTCTGACCCGCTTTGATACATTAGGACAAAATCTACAAATGTCAAAGTTCGCCCGGGTCCAGTGGGCTGAATTTTTGCCAAAATCGCTGTATATATGTTAAACAAAGGTGTTAAAGACAGGTGACACTGGTGATCCCTGAGTTAAACAAAGGTGTCAAAGACAGGTGACATTGGTGATCCCTGAGTTAACCAAAGGTGTTAAAGACAGGTGATATTGGTGATCTCTGAGTTAACCAAAGGTGTTAAAGACAGATGACACTGGTGATCCCTGAGTTAACCAAAGGTCTTAAAGACAGGTGACACTGGTGATCCCTGAGTTAACCAACACACAAATACCACTGTTCTTTCAAACAAGGCTGCCCCCATCCAATTAGCAACAACAACAACAAAAAAGTTCACACCACAGTCCATCGCGCACTGTATGAGATATGTGAAGTCAACGCTGTTATGAGCATCTTCAAGATCTGTCTCAACAGAAACTGTTTCTTGCTAGCGCGGAAATCCGTCATACATGCAATAAGCGAAAGTTCCGGCATGATCGCATGTTGCTTGTAGCTATCCACTGTGTCCGATAGAATGTCTATTATTTCTAAAAGTAACATCACTTTCTTCACCACAATTGATTCCAGCAGTTTGCTGTTCACATTTTGCAGTGTTGGGATTCTATAACTGCTGAGCTGCAAGGGATCATTGCCTGGTTTTGGACATTGTCTAAGATAACTCTGTAACCTATCATTTGGTATATTTGACTTTTGTATACGATTATTAAAGTCCCTCACCATTCGTAGTATTTCATCACAACCTAACTGTTTGATATGACCATAACCGTACACCGTTTGGCCCCGGAGCATTATTTCTACTGCCTGGCAATGCCACCTACATGTCGATTTTAGCCACCAAGCCTTCATAAATGTAGACCATGACAGTGGTATGCCTGAGATTCTCTAGAGTGTTGCGCCGCTCTGTCCTATTGTCTTTATCCGTTTAGTTTTAAAACCGCGTGAAAAACCTTGCTTCTTCTCATTGTCACTTGTCAATATTTTACCTCCTACACAAAAGAAGACCAATATATACACAAGAGAACATCAGCAGAAAACGTCACAAAAAATCATCAGTAGAATGTGTACACAAGAGAACATGAATAGAATATACATATACAGTAGCTCTTACAAAAATAATTATAATATCCAAAGTATTTAAATTAATTTTTTTAAATAAAGACTAGCAGATACATAATTGAACAGAGAAGGCATGTGTATTCTTAGAATTGGATGGCAGTGTTGTTGAACCAGTAAAAAATAAGGTTAGCACAAAGTTTTTTGTGTCAAAAATGTTGATATGTGTCTAACATCCTTGAATGTTGTGTGATTTTGATAATATTTTGTTGTTATACTGACATTTAAGTAGTTTAGATTTATTCTGCACTCATTTATCTTTAATTTGATATATTATAAGTCCATATACAGCCAATACTTTTTCTACAGGAAGGTTTTAGCTTTGTCGTGTTGCACTAAAAACATTCCGCTCAAAATTAATGCTGTCCAAACCCCAGAAAAAATGCCGTCCTGAAAGAGCTAGAGATCATCAGCAGAATATGGACCCAGGAGAACATCAGTAGAATGTGTACACAGGAGAATATCAGTAGAATGTGTACACAGGAGGAGAACATCGGTAGAACGTGTATACTAGAAACCATCAGCAAAATATTTACACACAAAAACACTAATGGAATATGTACACAGGAAAACATCTGTAGAATGTGTACACAGGAGAACATCTGTAGAATATGTACACAGGAGAACATTAGTTGAATATGTATACATAATAACATCGGTAAAGTATATACACAACAGGACATTAGTAGTTCTCGGGAACTGGACGACTTAGCAACACTCAGATGAACGAACGAACGAACGAACAAACTTTACTTTCAAATGGTTACAAATAGGGCAGGCAGACCCGTCTGACATTCCATACATACACACCTACACATGCATGCATGCATACACACACAGACAATCACATGTACGGACACCCACATACGCCCACAATCACAGTTACACTCACATATAATCACACACATACATACACCCGCATGCATGCATTTATACACACACATACATGCATACATACACACATCCATACATACATTCACATAATTACACAACAATATACATGCACACACACCTAAAAACCCCCACATACTTACAAAACTACATACATGCACAAACACCTAAAAACACCCACATACTTACACAACTACATACTTGCACACATAAACACCCACATACTTACACAACTACATATGCAAGGCCAAGTTAGACATACAATCACAGTTACTGATGCCATCAGAGATTTGAACAGGCTAATCAAGATTTTGATGGAGCAGGTATGGAAATAGCTTGAATGTTGTGCTGATTCTAAACTGAACTCGAAAAAACAGTCAAATGTTAACACTAAAAAACAAAAAGTACCTTTTACTGGAAAATATATTTAAAAAAACTGTGGCCACTGAGCATGACTGACAAATTTCCATACAAATACAATGCACCAAACAAATACAATAGAACCTTGCTTAACGAGCACATCTCATAACGAGTAATTCGCATAATGAGCAAAACCAATTGTAAAAGAATGACTTGCTTAACGAGCGATGTTTCGCATAACGAGTGGTGAGAAGAGGGGAAGTCCCGAATTGTGCGCATGTTACATCAGTCTGTGTTTAGCACTCGTTCCAGTAACATCGTAGTGTCGCTTGTGATCACACATTTTCTTAAACTTGTGCTATAATGTGACATATGTACATGAATCCTCAAGGCCTACAAGATGACCTCTCTAAAGAATTTGGGAGGCAGAAAATGGATCTTGATGAACTTAAATTCTTCAGACAGGTCATCTTGTAGGCCTTCCTAAAAATTTCCCCCCTGACCTGCATTCAATGCAGAAAATATGAAAAGAATGTTAGCTACCGGGGATCTCTGAAACGATGCTTGCCACTCTACGCAGAGCACACCTGTCTCTGCCTTTTTTTCCAGGATGCTCTCTGAGTTAGTTGCAACCACGTCATGCGTGATCCCCAGCATGCTCTCTGAGTTAGTTACAACCAAGTCATGCATGTTCCCCAGCATGCTCTCTGAGTCAGTTACAACCACGTCATGCATGTTCCCCAGCATGCTCTCTGAGTCAGTTACAACCACGCCATGCATGTTCCCCAGCATGCTCTCAGAGTTAGTTACAACCACGTCAAGCGTGTTCCCCAGCATGCTCTCTGAGTCAGTTACAACCACGTCATGCATGTTCCCCATCATGCTCTCTGAGTCAGTTACAACCACGCCATGCATGTTCCCCAGCATGCTCTCTGAGTTAGTTACAACCAAGTCATGCATGTTCCCCAGCATGCTGTCTGAGTCAGTTACAACCACGTCATGCGTGTTCCCCAGCATGCTGTCTGACTCAGTTACAACCAAGTCATGCATGTTCCCCAGCATGCTCTCTGAGTCAGTTACAACCACGTCATGCGTGTTCCCCAGCATGCTCTCTGAGTCAGTTACAACCACGTCATGCATGTTCCCCATCATGCTCTCTGAGTCAGTTACAACCACGCCATGCATGTTCCCCAGCATGCTCTCTGAGTTAGTTACAACCAAGTCATGCATGTTTCCCAGCATGCTGTCTGAGTCAGTTACAACCACGTCATGCGTGTTCCCCAGCATGCTGTCTGAGTCAGTTACAACCACGTCATGCATGTTCCCCAGCATGCTCTCTGAGTCAGTTACAACCACGTCATGCGTGTTCCCCAGCATGCTCTCTGAGTCAGTTACAACCACGTCATGCATGTTCCCCATCATGCTTTCTGAGTCAGTTACAACCACGTCATGCGTGTTCCCCAGCATGCTCTCTGAGTCAGTTACAACCACGTCATGCATGTTCCCCAGCATGCTGTCTGAGTCAGTTACAACCAAGTCATGCATGTTCCCCATCATGCTCTCTGAGTCAGTTACAACCACGTCATGCGTGTTCCCCAGCATGCTCTCTGAGTCAGTTACAACCACGTCATGCATGTTCCCCAGCATGCTCTCTGAGTCAGTTACAACCACGTCATGCATGTTCCCCAGCATGCTCTCTGAGTCAGTTACAACCACGTCATGCGTGTTTCCCAACATGCTCTCTGAGTCAGTTACAACCACGTCATGCATGTTCCCCAGCATGCTCTCTGAGTCAGTTACAACCACGTCATGCATGTTCCCCAGCATGCTGTCTGAGTCAGTTACAACCACGTCATGCGTGTTCCCCAGCATGCTCTCTGAGTCAGTTACAACCACGTCAAGCGTGTTCCCCAGCATGCTCTCTGAGTCAGTTACAACCACGTCATGCATGTTCCCCAGCATGCTCTCTGAGTCAGTTACAACCACGTCATGCATGTTTCCCAGCATGCTCTCTGAGTCAGTTACAACCACGTCATGCATGTTCCCCAGCATGCTCTCTGAGTCAGTTACAACCACGTCATGCATGTTTCCCAGCATGCTCTCTGAGTCAGTTACAACCACGTCATGCGTGTTTCCCAACATGCTCTCTGAGTCAGTTACAACCACGTCATGCATGTTCCCCAGCATGCTCTCTGAGTCAGTTACAACCACGTCATGCATGTTCCCCAGCATGCTGTCTGAGTCAGTTACAACCACGTCAAGCGTGTTCCCCAGCATGCTCTCTGAGTCAGTTACAACCACGTCAAGCGTGTTCCCCAGCATGCTCTCTGAGTCAGTTACAACCACGTCATGCATGTTTCCCAGCCAACAGAAGGCCACAGTCATTTTTCTGTCAGGTTTTCTTGTTTAACTGTTTGGTTTCATTGTTTAAAATGTGCCAGCAAGTTATTTCTAACTTTAAGAAGCTCTACACTAAAGCATTCTTCGAGCATTGTTTTCGGGTGGCTGAAGGGACCAACCTCACTCTTAAAAAGTTTTGGGAAAATCACTTCTACATCGTTGCCTGCCTCAAGATGATCGACAGGGCGGGGGAAGGGGTTGCTAAGAGAATCCTAACTTCTGCTTGGAAGAAGCTTTGGCCGGAGAGCGTTGTCGATTTGTGATTTTCAGGGGTTCGAGACAGTGCCTCTGAAACCTGTAGTCAACGAGATTGTGTCTTTGGCCACTATCATGGGATTGTAGGTGGATAACAGTGATATTGGAGAACACGTGGAAGAGCACAGCCAAGAGCTGACCACCGAAGGGCTTATGGAGTTGCATTGTGTTTCACGGAAAGAAGTTGTGGAGGAAAGTTTGTCAGAGGAGGAGGTAACAGAAAAGCAACAATCATCTGGCGAAATAGGAGAAATGCTGAAAGCATGGCAAACTGTTGAGAAGCATCACCCTAATAAAGAAGTGGTTATGCGCGTTGCCAATTTATTTATTGATTATGCTGTGTGCACACCAGTTTAACATATCTGACAGCTTTTTCGCTAAATGTTGAAGCGTCGGCCCTCAAAAATGTCTCTGGGCATCTTTCAAGTACAAAAAATAATAAGCCATGTATCATAATTATTTCGAATTTTGTTTTCTTCTGCAAATCAAATTCGCATTCCAGGTGCGTTCGTTCCGCGTTTGAAGAAAAGATGAAGATGATTCACTCTCCTTAAAAATATGTATATAATTTTCTTTGAATAAACGTTATACATAGCATTTTGTGAGTTTTTTTTTTTTTTTTCATGGAACGCATTATCGAATTTTACATTAGTTTATATGAGAAAACTTCTTTCGCATAACGAGTATTTCGCTTAACGAGTATGATTCTGGAACGAATTATGCTCGTTAAGAGAGGTTCCACTGTACTTTCTACAACAAACGTGAAAGTGGCACATTTGAAACAATGAAACCAAACAGTTAAACAAGAAAACCTGACAGAAAAATACAGAACACGAAATAATCAACAGGCAGAGGAAGCTTAGTCTGCCTTAGCAAAGTGAAACTTCTAGCACTGACAAGAGAGGCAGATCTCCAAGTTTAGTGTAGACATTTGTTATTTGTAATGATACTTACACTCGTGTAGTAGGGTCATTTGTTGTATTGAAACTGGAGCAATCAGCTGTGACTGTTGTATTGATACTTACACTGGAACTGTCAGCTCTGACTGTTGTATTTATACTTACAATGGAACAGCCAGCTCTGACTGTTGTATTGATACTTACAATGAAACTTTCAGCTGTGACTGTTGTATTGATACTTACAATGAAACTTTCAGCTCTGACTGTTGTATTAATACCTACAATGAAACTTTCAGCTGTGACTGTTGTATTGATACTTACAATGGAACTGTCAGCTCTGGCTCTTGTTGACTGTGTACCGGGCACAGATAATATCCCTCTATGAGCAACGCTACGGCCTCAATGGTTGTCCTGGCATCAGATTCTCTGGCGAAGGCTGCATTAGGAAATGTGTTTTTGATTTCACAATGGTCAATGGTGGAGGGAAACAGCTGAAAGACAACACAAGGACTCAGTAATCGTTTACTGTATGCATTTATACTAAACATTGTAAACGATAATAATTAGTTCGATATTAGCAGCTTGGAACACATTTCTGTGAGAGCAAACACTTAAACGTCTGACTATTGCAGAGAGGCTCAAAGTGCTGCAACCAAAGTCATATCCCAGAAATGCTGCAGATAAGAAACACCTCATGCATGAAGCCATGGACAGAGCTTCAGGTCATAGACCAAAAAGAAGAAGAATTTTGGTGGTGTAAGCTAAAGACACAAGTAGATATGTTTGCGGGTTTGATCATATTGGGCGAGGAGAGAAGTGGATCAAAATGTTGCAACAACAATCAGACGTGTGTAGGATTCTAATCACACTGGGCCATCAGTGCATGGGATACCATCACATCTAGTTTTAGAATGAAGTTGGAGGCCATGACTGTGGCCTTCTGTTGGCTGGGGAACACGCATGACGTGGTTGTAACTGACTCAGAGAGCATGCTGGGGAACACGCATGACCTGGTTGTAACTGACTCTGAGAGCATGCTGGGGAACACACATGACGTGGTTGTAACTGACTCAGACAGCATGCTGGAAAAAAAGGCAGAGACAGGTGTGCTCTGCGTAGAGTGGCAAGCATCGTTTCAGAGATCCCCGGTAGCTAGCTAACATTCTTGTCATATTTTCTGCATTGAATGCAGGTCTGGGGGGGAATTATTAGGAAGATAGAGTGGCTGGTTCTGCATTACCTGGTGGCAAATTGACGCCGACATGGTAATCGTTGTAAAGGTACTTCTGGAGTCAGTAAACAGTTTGGAGACACAAACAGACCTTTGCGGTCTGAAGAGAATGATGCAGTCTAGCGGATCTGGCCGAGATTCAACATTTAGAGGGAAGGGCGATGGACACACAATCAGAATGTTGGAGAATGTCCAAAGTGCTGCCGTTTCAGTTCTTAACTCATCATTCCGTGTGATTTACCACTCATATAACAGTAAGACTGAAATAACGTATTATCAGTTTTATAGTATCAACTATATTATCAATGATAACATTTTCAATTACTACATGATCTGATACTCTACTATCATTTATTTCTTATACAGATGTTCATCTATGCCATAATACAAGACTGTAATCCTCTTTTTGTCCCCAGCCACCGGCTTTTTCCCGTTAACTTTTCTGTCATCACTATAAAGTCCAGTGTCATCTTTCCCGTCAACCTTTCTGCTGCAATTACAAACTCCAGTGTTCCTTTTCCCTTCAAATGTTATGTTGTCATTACACAGTCCAGTTTGCCTTTTCCCGTCAAATTTTCCGTTATAATTACAATGAATCCAATGATTAATTTCCCTTTAAATATTTTGTTGTTATTACGAAGTCCAGTGTTTCCTTTCCTGTCAACTTTCCAGTTGTAATTACAAACTCCAGGGTTTATTTTCCCGTCAACTTTTCCGTTGTTATTACAAACATCATTGATCCATTTCCCTTTAAATTTTCTGTTGTCATTACAAACTCCAGTGTTCCTTTTCCTGTCAACATTTTATATGTAATTACAAATTCCAGTGTTCCTTTTCCTGTCAACTGTTCTGTTGTCATTACAATCTCCAGTGTTCCTTTTTCCGTCAACTTCTCTGTTGTCATTACAAATTCCAGTGTGCCTTTTCCCGTCAACTTTTCTGTTGTCATTACAAACGCTAGTGTTCCTTTTCCTGTCAAACTGTTCTGTTGTCATTACAAACTCCAGTGTTCCTTTTCCTGTCAACTGCTCTGTTGTCATTACAAACTCCAGTGTTCCTTTCCCTGTCAACTTTTCTGTTGTCATTACAAACTCCAGTGTTCCTTTTCCTGTCAAACTGTTCTGTTGTCACTACAACTTCAGTGTTCGTTTTCCTGTCAACTGTTTTGTTGTCATTACAAACTCTAGTGTTCCTTTTCCTGTCAACTGTTCTGTTGTCATTACAATCTCCAGTGTTCCTTTTTCCGTCAACTTCTCTGTTGTCATTACAAATTCCAGTGTGCCTTTTCCCGTCAACTTTTCTGTTGTCATTACAAACGCTAGTGTTCCTTTTCCTGTCAAACTGTTCTGTTGTCATTACAAACTCCAGTGTTCCTTTTCCTGTCAACTGCTCTGTTGTCATTACAAACTCCAGTGTTCCTTTCCCTGTCAACTTTTCTGTTGTCATTACAAACTCCAGTGTTCCTTTTCCTGTCAAACTGTTCTGTTGTCACTACAACTTCAGTGTTCGTTTTCCTGTCAACTGTTTTGTTGTCATTACAAACTCTAGTGTTCCTTTTCCTGTCAACTGTTCTGTTGTCATTACAAACTCTAGTGTTCCTTTTCCTGTCAACTGTTCTGTTGTCATTACAAACTCCAGTGTTCCTTTTCTGTCAACTGTTCTGTTGTCATTACAAACTCCAGTGTTCCTTTTCCTGTCAACTGTTCTGTTGTCATTACAAACTCTAGTGTTCCTTTTCCTGTCAACTGTTCTGTTGTCATTACAAACTCCAGTGTTCCTTTTCCTGTCAACTGTTCTGTTGTCATTACAAACTCTAGTGTTCCTTTTCCTGTCAACTGTTCTGTTGTCATTACAAACTCTAGTGTTCCTTTTCCTGTCAACTGTTCTGTTGTCATTACAAACTCCAGTGTTCCTTTTCCTGTCAACTGTTCTGTTGTCATTACAAACTCCAGTGTTCCTTTTCCTGTCAACTGTTCTGTTGTCATTACAAACTCCAGTGTTCCTTTTCCTGTCAACTGTTCTGTTGTCATTACAAACTCTGGTGTTCCTTTTCCTGTCAACTGTTCTGTTGTCATTACAAACTCTAGAGTTCCTTTTCCTGTCAACTGTTCTGTTGTCATTACAAACTCCAGTGTTCCTTTTCCTGTCAACTGTTCTGTTGTCATTACAAACTCTAGAGTTCCTTTTCCTGTCAACTGTTCTGTTGTCATTACAAACTCTAGAGTTCCTTTTCCTGTCAACTGTTCTGTTGTCATTACAAACTCTAGAGTTCCTTTTCCTGTCAACTGTTCTGTTGTCATTACAAACTCTAGTGTTCCTTTTCCTAGGAGGTCCCCAAAAAATATTTATGTCATATTGTTCTGATATTTCTCTATTCTTGGGTCAGTGATAAATGTGCACCCCACAACTGGGGACTATGATCTGACTAAAACTGTGACAACTGTTCACCCCACAACTGGTGACTATGATCTGACTAAAACTGTGACAACTGTCCACCCCACAACTGGGGATTATGATCTGACTAAAACTGTGACAACTGTCCACCCCACAACTGGTGATTATGATCTGACTAAAACTGTGACAACTGTCCACCCCACAACTGGTGATTATGATCTGACTAAAACTGTGACAACTGTCCACCCACAACTGGGGATTATGATCTGACTAAAACTGTGACAACTGTCCACACCACAACTGGTGATTATGATCTGACTAAAACTGTGACACCTGTCCACCCCACAACTAGGGATTATGATCTGACTAAAACTGTGACAACTGTTCACCCCACAACTGGTGACTATGATCTGACTAAAACTGTGACAACTGTCCACCCCACAACTGGTGACTATGATCTGACTAAAACTGTGACAACAGTCCACCCACATCTGGGGATTATGATCTGACTAAAACTGTGACAACTGTCCACCCCACAACTGGGGATTATGATCTGACTAAAACTGTGACAACTGTCCACCCCACAACTGGTGATTATGATCTGACTAAAACTGTGACAACTGTCCACCCACAACTGGGGATTATGATCTGACTAAAACTGTGACAACTGTCCACACCACAACTGGTGATTATGATCTGACTAAAACTGTGACACCTGTCCACCCCACAACTAGGGATTATGATCTGACTAAAACTGTGACAACTGTCCAACCCACAACAGGTGATCATGATCTGACTAAAACTGTGACAACTGTCCAACCCACAACTGGTGACTATGATCTGACTAAAACTGTGACAACTGTCCAACCCACAACTGGTGACTATGATCTGACTAAAACTGTGACAACTGTCCAACCCACAACTGGTGACTATGATCTGCTTAAAACTGTGACAACTGTCCACACCACAACTGGTGATTATGATCTGACTAAAACTGTGACAACTGTCCATCACCACTAAATTTAAAAGTCGTAATTAAACAACAAAACAATATTTTAAGGAAGGAAACAAGCCTATTCTAGAACTAATCAACTATTTGCTTACACGGATCCAGTTTTTGGAAGCTTTCTGTTCTCGTCTTGTATTTAACAAGAATGTGACGTCCTCCTCTTTCAGGCAGAAGACTTCTGATGTGTCACAGATCATGTTCTGCGTGTTAAACATTTAAACAATCAGAATCATTTTATGCTATGATTTTATTTGATTCAACAACCGAAATGACAGTCCTCAGGGCATTACCATAAGCGCTTCGTCTCCATCTTCAGCAGCCATCGAAGAGTTCAGATACTTATACTACCAGTAGCATTTTAATTAAACGTCCGTCTTACCTTTTCTTTTGCCAGAACTTCTCGTCACTCCCTCGTGCATCAATCTCACCCCCTGGCGGTGATCCATCTGCTCCTCCGCCTTATCATGCATCATCGTTCCACCAAGTTGTGAAGAGTCTGTCCGCCTGTTCATTTCCCAGCAGATGGGTGTGCACCGGTGTAAAAATCCAGACAATACTCCTCACCCGTGTCCTCTGCAGCGAAGCTTGCCACTTTTCATGAGGCCTGCCTGTCCTGATCTTCCTCAGCATGCTTTCTGAGTCAGTTACATCACTATGTGTATGTGTGTGTATGTGTGTGTATGTGTGTGTGTGTGTGTGTGTTGTTCTGATACAGTCAATCGTTTCTCTATTCTTGGCTCAGTGATAAATGTGGACCCCATAACTGGTGATTATGATCTGACAGTGTATGTGTGTGTGTGTGTGTGTGTTTGTGTATGTGTGTATGTGTGTTTGTGTGTGTATGTGTGTCTGTGCGTGTGTGTGTCTGTGTGTATGTTGTTCTGATACAGTCAATCATTTCTCTATTCTTGGCTCAGTGGTAAATGTACACCCCATAACTGGTGATTATGATCTAACAGTGTGTGTGTGTGTGCGTGTGTGTGTATGTGTGTGTATCGTGTTATCTAACCAGCGGAAAGCTGTAGTGACCGCCCCCACCTCCATTCTTAAGCTGGATGTTGTGGTATCATATGCTAGGCTCTCCTGCACCAAACGTCGACCATTACCTTTCGCTAAGAAGCCACAAGCACTCTACACACTGAACCGTCTGTGTAAATGATCAAATCATCTGGGCAAGCATTATCTTGAATTAATTGCTGAATTTCTACCTCTGTGGCACCTGCTGCCCAGTCTCTGCATTCCCGGCTCAGTGTGATTATGACCCTACACAAGTCTGACTGTTCAGGTGGTACTTTGACCAACACCTCTCCTCGCCTAATATTCTCAAGGATGCAAACCTATGCTAGAAAAACATCAACCATCCAACAGGAAACTGTGACATGAACACAGCGTTTATCTTTCCCTTCATCACAATGTGCACAGTTTAAATTGAAATGCATTACTGCAACATCTGACTATAAATTTCGACAGACAAACCAAAAATACTTAAGAAAAGATTGATCAGTTATAAAAAAAAATCAGTTCCAATGAACAATGAAAAAAAAAGAGCAATCTGGAGCTAAACTGTGAAGTGTCACAGTCCTCAGTCGGGTACTTTAAATATCTGACAGCATGGACAATAAACTAACAGATCAAGTGAAACAAATGCGTGTACTCCCTTAGCATAACTGATAATGACATGTACATCTAACACAAAAGGGAGACAAACATTCAGTAAATAGATTTTTGTAGAAGGGAGAGTTTTCTGACACCAATATCTACTTCTCCTAGACGTCTGCAGCTGTGAGCGACTGGTTTTTAGCAGGCTGAGGATAGCCATATCTTGCTCATAGAGTTAGTCTCTTACTTCTTGTCAGTTTTTACAATGAGGTAAACTAAACTGATGGATTTGGACGAGTCCACTATGGCTTTTATCGTCTCTACTTAGAAGCAATTTTTTTTTAGACCTCACCCCTACTTGAATTATATTCAGTTTCGTCCTTTTCAGGACGAAATTTTTTGTCATTTGAAGCCCTACTCTGGCTTTTGCCAGGGGCCGTAATATAGGCAGGCCATAAATGTGGCCAAATGTCTGAACGCGGTTTCTGGGACCTCTCCACGGCGATCCTCATCCGCATGGTGGCACTTTGTGTCATCGGGTGTTTATCGCTTGTGTGATGTCCTGGTGGGGTAGAAATTCATTCATTCATCCTTAGACCTCACCAGTATTGCCATCAGTACCTGCCCAAGTCAATCGACCGCCGGTCCTTATTAGGATAGGCAATTTACTTTCCCCGGAAACAACAAACAGCCAAGGAATACCACAATAAATCGATTCAACATCCAATCATCTTGAGCGCAGCACAGGGCCAGCCAAATTACAAAAGCAACAGCAAGAGCGGAAACCACAACAAATAGAAAGCGACAATTTTGAACACAATCCAAAACCAAATGAGATCGAGACCAGAAAACGTCACCACAAATATAGCTGAAAGGAAAGTGAGCAGAAATGTGAGCGGACCTAGCTGAAAGTGGTAAACGAAAGAGAATTTGAATTTGAATTATTTTATTTGAAGCCACACTCTAGCTTCCGCCGGAACCCTGAATATAGCCAAAGCATAGATATGGCCTAGCTATAGATATAACCTAACGGCCAAAGGGGTTCACGGACCTCCTACCGGTGATCCTCATCTGCATGATAGCACCTTGTGTCACCGGGTGTTTATCGCTTGGTGGATGTCCTGTTGGGTTTAATCTCTCTACAACATGGCTCCGTCAACATCTAACCCGCACAATCTGACTAAAGGTTATGTATTGCTTCACTTGAAGTGTCAGGCAGTTTAAGCCATTATACTTCGTTGGACTTCATTATATGTGTGCAGAAATCATAATGAGAATGTCCAAAAATGATCAGACTTGTAACAGTTATGATCTGCTCTTTACAGGCAGCAAACCTGTTTTTAGACAGGTAAAGAATTTTGTAAACAAAAGCTTCTTCTTATATTCCACTGTGTACCTAAGTGAAGTAACAGGCGGGGTGGGGGGGGGGGGGGCGGAAGAGATGCAACGTTCTTTGATGAGTCTCTCAAGAGCACTAATAAGATTGATGTTCATTTCTGTAAGGCTGTTCTTAATGTCATTATTCCATTTTTACCGAGGTCTTCCACTCTCTCTATACCCACTGTAACGTTTAAGTAATTCTATAATATCTTCTTCATGATTAAAGTTAGTTTCCTTAAATTTAGTATCTGGTGTGTGCTATCTGAGTGACACAATAATCAGCACACGACCAAGTGTCCACAGGTACGGATATTCACTTAACACTGGTCCCAACATTCTCTTCCCCTCCTTACTCGGGCCAATGTTGACACTGTTCACGGGACATTCCCTTGAACTCCCCAGAAATAACCATCATACCACTCTGTCCCTTTACACAATATTACACACTCCCAAATCAGCACGCAAAAGTATCAAAGCATATTATAAAAAGAAATGGTGATAGTACACAGACGCACACCAGAGTTCTATAAAATTTTGCCTTCGATCTTATGCAGCATTTACTACTTGTGTACAGACTTTTGCAAATATTGATAAGATGATTGCTGACTCCTTTTTCCCCTCATACATTTCCACATCATATTTCTTCTGACTATAGAAGACTTGTTCCTGGTCTATGAATGTCAACAAGGTCTTATTGTATTCTATTGCTCTTTCTCCCTCTCTTCAGTTCATACTTTCAGTTCATACTTTCAGTTCATACTTTCAGTTCATACTTTCAAGCGATTATATACCACCTTGAATGTAATTAATAACCCATATTGCACAATCAATTTATTATTAAACAAGGTGTATATGATATGTATGTTTTTGCGCTTGCGTGTGTATGTGATATGTATGTATGTGTAGGCGCGTTTGTATACGTATGATTCTGAGTATGTTGTTTGTCTGCTTGTGTGTGTGCGAATGTATGCGTCTGTGTGTATGTGTCCGAATCTGTGTGGCGCGCGTGTGTCCACGTGTATGTTTCAGTATGAATTGGTACGTGTGTCTGTGTGTTTCTGTGTGTTTAGGTGTGCCTCTTTGTTGTGTATGTTTGCGTGTGTGTGACTGGATACATGTGGCTGTGTATATGTATCTCTATGTTTGTCTGCATGTGTGTGTGTCTCGGTGCTTGTCTGCATGTTTGATGTGACTGTGTGTACATCTGCGTGTGCGTCGCCGTATGTGTTTGTCTGCATGTTTGCCTGTGTGTGTTTATGTGCGTTTGTCTGCGTGTGTGTCTATGTAGCTGTATGCATGTATCTATGTGTGTGGGTGTCTGAATGTTTGTCTGCGTGAGTAAATGTGTCAGCATGTGTCTTTGTGTGTGCGTGTACTGTGTGCGCGTGTGTCCAGTCTTTCGTCAATGGGTGTGTGTGTTTGTGTGTGCCCTTTGTTGTGTGTATGTGTCTGCATGTCATAGTATATGTCTGTGTGTGCTGTATATATGTGTCTGCGTGTGTATTTTTATGTGTTTTTCTGAGTGTGTTTATCTGTGTATGCATTCCTGAGTGTTTGTGTGTGGGTGTCAGTATGTGTTTGTCTGCCTGTTTGTATTTTTGTGTGTGTTTGACTGCATGTGTGTCTATGTGGCTGTGTGCGTGTGTGCGTGCGTGTGTGTCTATGTGGCTGTATGTATATGTCTGCATGTTTGCCTGTGTGTGTGTATGTGTGTGCGTGCGTGCGTGCGTGTGTGCGTGCGTGTGTGCGTACGCGCGTGTGTGTGCATGTGTGTATGTGTGTGCGTGCGTGCGCGCGTGTGCGTGCCTGCGTGTGTGCGTACGTGCGTGTGTGTATGTATGTGCGTGCGTGTGTGTGTGCCTGCGTGCGTGCGTGTGTGTGTATATGTGTGTGTGTATATGTGTGTATATGTGTGTGTATGTGTGTGTATGTGTGTATGTATGTGTGTGTATGCGTGTATGTGTGTATGCGTGTATGTATGTATGTATGTATGTATGTATGTATGTATGTATGTATGTATGTATGTATGTATGTATGTATGTATGTATGTATGTATGTATGTATGTATGTATGTATGTATGTAGGTATGTAGGTATGTAGGTAGGTATGTAGGTATGTAGGTAGGTATGTAGGTATGTATGTATGTATGTATGTATGTATGTATGTATGTATGTATGTATGTATGTATGTATGTATGTATGTATGTATGTATGTATGTATG